TAGCTGGACCATGACACCACTGATAGGCTAACCTGCACTTTCGTCCCCAAGGTTGACACTACTGTGATTCTTCGCCACTCTTACCGTAGTTATACCCTCACTCAGCTACTTACAGGACACGGCAACTTTAAGCAATACTTGTGTGACCAGAGGGTCAGCACCTCTTTTAGTGCCTCATCAGCGCTGACATCACTGTGTCTTCTAGGATAGACACAGAAACCTTAACGGCTACAAATTTGGAATTCGCGCGAGCAGTCACGTGCACAGACAATTGGATTCGGGATGGAGGAGGATTGAGAGACGGATTGGAAGTGAATCACACAGATACAAGGTTAACAATTAAAATAACCAATTTAATTCTACAAAAAAAAGAGAATACATAGTTTTATGCTATTGAATAATGGTTGAGCGAGAGAGTTTACAAGAAACTATGAGTTGGTATATATATCTTTACTGCAATTAATAGTGTGGATTCCGGATTGCTAACTTGTTTGGACATTCGTCAGTTGTTGTTGGTCGGTCGGTTGTTCAGTTGGAGCGGTTGGGGAGTGTTAATTTTTCTTTTCCTGGGATGATAGTCAAACCAAGGGAAATGGAAGGATAAAATAATCCGGGGAGTTCGAAGGTGTCCACAACACAGAGTTACCTCTTGGGTTTTTCAGGGCGTTTGATTGATACTCATGAACTCTGTCTGGACAACCCCTTGTCCTTGAGTCACTCCTTTCTGTACCTCCAAATCATGTTATCCTTTTTTCACCAATCAGGAATTTTTTTATAGTAGTTCCCAGCAACACATTTGATGAGTTCCCTGGAAAAAGAAACAACTCCAGAGAGAGAGAGAGATGTAATCATTCTCTGGTAATAAAATTGAAAAGTTTTTTGAAAGACGAAAAATGAAAATTCTGTCAAAATTCGTCACATACAATTCATCAATACCACAATCCACAATGTGATTGTGGTATTCAGGAGGATCAAACACCACTTCACTTAGTTTTTCACTGCAATAGGTACAGTAACATTAGAGATAGTTTAATGAGAGCTGCTATTCTTGAAGGGTACAACTGGCCTTGCAACCCACACCAACGTATTCACATACGTACAATGTTCCATCATCTACTTGCATTCATATCCCTTGGTGGGGCTCTTGAGAGCACTCACTCCAGGGGGCATGGATGGCAAAGCTTTCTCTTGCTTTGTTTCAACTGTGTATATATAGCTGCCTTTCAACTTTGTATTTTAATTCTTATTTTCTGTCATCTTTTTCAATCTAAATTTGGTTAGTCCTGGTTGTAAGTTAGATTAGGGATTCTTAGCTTGGTTTCCGGTTAGGTTAAGTTAAATTAGATTAGGGTTTGTTAACTTCAGTTGTCTGGTTAGGTTTGTTTTAGTAGGTTAGTTTAGTTAGAGAATAAGTTAACATTTAAAAAAGAAAAAAATAAATAAATAATAATAAATTAATTAATTTAAAAAAAAAATTGTGGTTTTGCTTGTTTGTTGGTCCGTTCATCTCGTCTAGTTTGTCGTTGTGCTCATTTGCGTTTTGTTCTGTCTGTCTAGCTGTTAAGTAGTATTAAGATTTGCAATCGTGTTCAGTTTTATTAGTATTAAGTAGATATAAGTCTTTCTACTAACAGCCATTTTGCACTAACTTCTACACTTAGCTATTTGTCGCGGCATTCAATTATTGGTGTTCACTACACTCAGGTTTTCTTTTAGACCTTCAGGGAACTACGGCTTGCAGCCTAAAAACTGCATGCCAACATCAAGCATAGAGGGTACTGTAGCCATATGTACTGTACATGTACAGTACATTGTTCAGAGGGATCCTACCTTTTTCTTCTGTCTGTCTCCTTTCCCTCCTACTTCCTCTCCCCTTTTTTTTACTTTCTTTTCTGCCGGCTAAACACCTCGTGTACAGCCAATGTCTTTCTTTTATGTATGTATGTATAGTTCATCCTTAAAGTAAATTCATCTTGATTCACAAGGATCACTTTCAGCAGTTTCTGTATTCTTAAACAATGCTAAAGTTTTTAACAAGTATTTTTGTTTAAATTAATTTGTATCATTTCCAGTGAGTGGGCCATTTTTACATGGGACACCATACAAAATATGATATGGAAAACAGGATCTAGCTAGGACATCATGTAATCAATAAAAATCTTAAATAAATTATCTTAGAAATCTGTTGTATGCAATGGTCTACCAGTAAACACATTTTAACTGAAACAATCACTTCCAATAAAATATTAATAGTTGATACAGCAAAATATCATGATAGTATTGTTACATACAGTATACTGTAAGATGGTAGAAAACTGTAGTAGGACTTGCATACACATCATTTGCATAAGTGATGTATGGTTAGTATTGTACATCAGCCGTTAAAAACAAATATAGTGTAACATTCATTTATATTATATTGAATTTTTATTATATTAATCTGTGTTATATAAGTTTACTTTAGTTGGAAATATTTGTGGTGTCTTGCTAAAATTACAGTAGTAGTGCACAGCAATTATTAGGAGCATGGTTCTATTTTTTTTATCACTCTGTGATAAAGGTTTACATTTTATACTCCTAACATTTTATACAGTAGACCCCCCTATAACGCTTAGATACGTTCCACGCTAACCGAAAATTACGTTGTAGGAATGATTAAATACATGAGCCAATCGCTGCCTGATAGGTGGGAACTTTACGGACTAAGGCTGTTCGAAAGGTTTTCTTCTATAAAATTAACCGATTCTAGACTAATTCCACTCAACATTTCCAAAACACGTATAATTTTTTGGGAATAATCCGTATAAACTATGCTATAAACAAAAAATTATAGGATTACTTACCGAGTGTGTACCGTTCGACTACGCCGTTGCTTAAAGCTGGTTTTCATCGCGGAACAGCACATTAAACGGCGGCCGCGATTTCTAATAACGAATTTTTCGCATAAAAATAACTTGACCTTTGGAGACATCATTAATATAAATAATTTTTATGGCCGTTGAATAAGAAGTGTTTCTTTCACAAGAAATGTATAAAATTAGTGCTGTATTAGACTTACGGTACCTAATTTACATACTGTACAGACGATAATAAACTCAACTTACTAGCCTAAAATCTCCGTAGCGTGTTGCCAGGCGGCAGAAAGCATATATATAATTATAATAAAGTTACAATAAATTAAGTTAATATATAATTATATATACAGTACCTAATTTATATATAATTAATATATAATTATATGTACAGTACCTAATTTATATATAATTTATATATAATACTAAACAGACGATAGCAAACTCAATTTAGCCGCTCCGTAGCGTGGCGCAGGGTCGGAGGAAAGTAGTTCGGCTGCTCATCCACTATTGGTCCAGACTCTATCAATCTTGTCGCGAAACGACGTTATAGGAGGTACGTTATACGAAAGTTGCTACAATTTTTTCGCTACGTTATAGGAATTGTCGTTATAGGAACGTACGTTATAGGGGGGTCGACTGTAATTAGTTTTAATAAGTTGTTTTTATGCTTAAGAAGACATATGACATGTGATCTATTTTATATTTCAACTATTATTAGCTTATTTCATATTTTTTGGATAAAGTAAATCATTTTTACATAAGCATATAAGTAGTACTGCCAAATATCTCATTCCACTACAAATATGCTTTACCTTTATTTTTTGTAGGGAGGAGGAATTTGTTGTTTAATGTAATGTTTAACACAATAGGAAAAGTGTATAGTAATCTCATTTTCAGCTCTCTTTTAATGGAAAAGGAGGAGAATTTTTTTGGCAACATACTAAATATAAATGGAAAAATCATGAAAATTATAAATGAAATGTATATGTATGGTACTGTACATATTCAAAATACTAAATACTTAATTTTGTTGTGTGTGTTCTTACAGAGATTCACATGAATTGTTGAGACAGAGAGGGATTTTCTTCAACATATTTATTAAAATTAAAATGTTTTTTAGGAAAATCCTATAAATTGTCTTCACATAAAAGTGGCATTAAGGGCAAATTAATCCGTAAGAAAAGTAAGATTTATTCATAATCATCTTCAAACTCTCAATATTTTTTTGTACTTGACAGACAAATAAGTTAATTGTTCTTGTAAAGGACTTTCTATTCAATAAAGTATTAAAAATATAAAAGTATTTAGTTAAATTTTTTGGTATTTTTAGTCTTTTAATAAAGAAAAGAACGAGAATCTTTATTCTAAAGTTGTTTATAAAGGAGATAAACAAAATTTATTCATATCATCTAAAGATAGATGAATAATCTATAGCTATATATATAATTTCTAGCACATATAGTTTATAAACTAGCTTGTATCTGTAATTAATATAGAAAAAAGGAAGTACTACTACTAGGAAGTGACCACATTTAAGTCTTTAAATAGCATAAAAGTAGAGCATTGGATTTTTTTTTTTTTTTTTGTTTTTGTTAGTATGAAACTTTTTCACTTTTCCTTTTCTTTCTTAATATTAAAAATATTTTGGGCTTATATTAATAAAAGAATAATTTAATTTAAAAATTTCTTAATAAATACAATACTCTGTTAGAACATTACTGTTATGTATGGAATTTCTCATTTCACAAGCTCTCTGCAGAAAACTAAGATTTTAGTCTGTTCTATATGCTTAAAATATATATTGATACATAAATATAGCTTATAATGAAGATAGCTTTTCTCAGAAATCTTTTGTTTATCCATTTACTAGCTGAGACATGAAAATAAAGTTTTGTAATTAAATAATGAAAACATTGCATTTTTTAACATTATTTTATGATTTTTATTGTTTAATTTGTTAATTTATGTTGTCTTTGAAACTGTGTTTGATAAATTTGTTGAACTTCGAACTCAAACTTGATTTTTAAATAAACAACTAAAAGGAGATGGAAATAAAACCAAGTGTTTATTTAAAACTCAATTTTGAGTTCCAAGTCCATTGTTAATTTATATCAATATTGATTAAAATTATTGGATTTATTTTAGGAGAAAGTTGATGAGTACATCTCAGTATATATACAAGACATTATTTTTGCAAGGTCAGAATAGTGATATTACAATTGTAGCATTAAGTCAAGAATGGAAACTTCACAAAGTGTATTTATGTCAGGTAAGTTGAAGATCATCTATTTATTGAAAAATTAAAATTACTTTTATTTTAAATTATAAGGTTATTTTATTATTTTTGTAATGCATTCATGATGAAAAAATAGATATTTTTATCTGTTTTAGTCACCTTATTTTTCAAGCATGTTTTGTGGGTCGTGGAGAGAAGCAGAAGAAGGAATTATTACTGTTGGCATAGAGGATCCAAATGTAACAGCTAATGGTTTGTATTCATTAATGGCATAGTTGATTTATTTTAATACATTATAATTTACATTATCTCTAAGTTTTATACAGTAGAGCATCGATTATCCGACTCAATTGGGGACTCAGGTAGGTCGGATAACTGAAAAGAATGAAAAAAAATACATTATTAGTATAGTATATTAGTATATCCCATGTAATTAGTATATTAGTATATCGCTATTAACCAACTTTGCATTGAATTTTCATTGATGTTAAGCCTAACAAATTTTTTTAAAAAATAATAATCGTCACTATTGTATCGTTAAAAATTATTTTTAAATTATTTTATTGCTCACAAAACAAACAAGTTTAAATACAGTACTGGCCTCCCTTTTATGGTCGAGCCAGTGTTGCCAGCTAAAACATGCAAAAATTTAACAAAAATAATATTAAAGTAGCCAAGACATAGCCAAATATTGTAGCACCGCATCACTAGCGGACATTTGAAATTTGCCAACTAGAATGGTTGGTTAACCGATGTGACAGTTAATCGGGGGTCGGATAATCGATGCTCTACTGTATATTATTATGCAGTCGGAGTAGAATCAATGACTCTGTATTAATAAATATTCTTTATATTATGTATATACCAAAATTAGACCCATTCCTATTATTTATAAATAGTGTTGAATATATTTGAAGTCTGGAATTGTGGTTTGGCCACCACTGCACCTTAACATCCTCTGTTGTTGATTGCAACATGCATACAAATATATTTACATATTACAGTTGTAAGCTTCTACCTCTAATGAATTAAATAATTAATTAATTGCTTCCAATAATAACATATACAAACGATTTGATAATTAATTTAATTATTCAGACAAACCACTGGATTCTTATTGGGGTATAATGTAATCTGACAAAAATCCAGCTGTTCATTTGAGTAATTTTTTTTAGTTCACTTGTTCATTTATATTACAAGTGCTTTTCAAATTATGCATGTTTGAAATGCATGGTTTTAAAATAACATGATGGAAAAATCAAATGTATTTTGAAATAATGTGTACTAAGATTCAAAACTACACATACATCACAAAATTACACACAGTTCTTTGGCATTAATGGTAACATTTATGTGCAACACATTATTCAGGCAATACTATCATATAAAAATTTGTTGCAATGAACAATAGTTAAATTCTTCAGCTATTCTGTTACTTTACTGGTTTCAGAGAAGATTCATTTGACCATTGATGAGTTGATATAAAATTTTTCTTAATCAATTTTTATGTGTAAGTCACAGCTATACTTCAATTAACAGACTAAAACTTTTAATCATAGAACTATTTGGTCTGTCTGGATGTGTTGGGCCCTGTCCCTCACCACCTGGCCATCCCATTGTGGGCATGGCTGGACCTATAAAAGGCTTGCTAATGGAGGTCCTCTTAGTGCCCATGGGACAGAAAGAGTTTTAAAAAAAATCATAGAACTATTGAACTAAACTAAATTAAATCTAACAGTTCTCTCTTTTCTTCTGTTTGAATCACCTATTCATTTTTTCCCCTAGTTTATGCATCAATTTCCTTACCATCTTGTGTTTTCCAAAACTTTCAACACTTAATCCCTTTGCAGAAAAACCTTTATTATATGTGCTTAATTTTAGCTTAACCAAATTGTTTTCATTTTATCCTTGTTTAATGTCATGTATTAAAACTATTAGTATAGTGTCTTCTGTCATTCATATATGTAGTGGTTAAATTTACATTGCAGAACACAACTATGGCATTTACCACTAGTTTAATGGCAAAATTTAAAATACATTTGACTTACTTAGAATACAATCTTTGTAAAATTTCAGAACCCCCCCTGTATTTGTGATGTGAAAAATCTCATTTTATTTGAAATGAAACGTTGCAATACAGGTGCTCCTCTACTTACAAACAGGCTCTTGTGGTTTTGCCATAAGTTGAAAAGTATATTTGTAAACAATTTTGTGCACAAATTTGTAAAAAGCACTACAGCTTACTAGCAGATGTTTCAAATGCAGTTTTGTTTACCTAATGCACTTAGTTTTATAATGTCCAGTTTAATTTTCGTGGTAATAGCATGATACATTTATCTCCCCTACTAATTTCATTATTACATTTTGGATGCATTTTTTGTAGCACTAATCTTAATAAAATTTATAAAAATTGCAAGCAATACAGAAAAATGCCATTAATGCAATGTTACCAACTTCATGACCCATGAGCTGTAGCAGTACCTCAGAATTCACACAAAAATTAAGAATGATGATATACAATAGAAGTAAGCCCACATTAATTATTTATTAAAAATTTATTATTTACTACTGGTTGAAGACTGACTTTAATACCACCTCACTGTGGCAAGAGAACTTCAAAATCCATGTGAAATTTAAATTTTGGATATATGATCAAATTGTAAGTCTGAAAATTTGTAAGTAGGTTAGCACCTGTATATTCTTAATCAGACAATATTGAATCATTTTTAACCTGTCAAATCCCATGTCAAAATTGATGAAGAAAAATGGAAAAAATGTTCATAACTCATTTATGTATACCTTTCAATGATGCATAGAATTGATGAAAAATATTTATATCCCTTAGTTTTTTGGAAATTGGGGTGTCACTTGCAGGTGGCACTGGGCATTATCTATTTCATGCAACCTATATACAACTTAGTATGAAGATAGTGATAAGAAAATACAAATAATCTTTGAATAAACATTTATTATTATAAGAAAAGGTTTAGAACTTTTATATAACTTGTGGAATTTATTGTAACATTTTTATGCAAACTTATATTGCATTTCAAGAACATATTTTGGGTGCATTCATAACAATATGCACTATGTTTAGAAGCATTTTATTCTATATGGTTAGCTGGAATGTGTACCAGTATTGCAATGCTTCCACTATATAATATTGGGTGTATAAATATGACTCTGCCCTTTTTTTGGTAAATGTAAGACATTTGTTTGTTTTTAAAATGAAAGAAAAATTTATTCAAAATATTTTCCATCAGAAGTTACATTTGCCTATCTGTCAGGCAACAAAGGGATTCCATGAAGGAAGAAGTCTGGTTGTTTTGAAGCAATCCAGTTATCAACCCAATTTTGAATATCCTCATAAGATCTGAACTGCTTTTCTGAAAGGTCGCTCTGCATGGATCAAAACAAATAGTAATCTGAAGGAGCAACATCTGGAGAATATGGCAGGGGGGGCAATGCATCTCAGCAAAGTCTTCTAGAGTTCCCTTGACTGATCTTGCAACATGTGGGCGAATGTTGTCATGTTGGAAGACAACCTTGTTGTGTCTTTTGGCATATTCTGGATGCTTTTGCTTCAATGCTTCATTCAATTTGATTAACTGTTGTTTGTAACATTCAGCATTGATTGTCTGACTCAGTTGCAACAGCTCAAAGTACATGACACCCTTTTGGTCCCACCAGATACACAACATAACTTTACCTCCATGAACATTCTGTTTCGGCATTGATGGACCTGGGTCACCTGGACACACCCATGCCTTTGGTTGTTTAAGATTGTTAAAGTGTATCCATTTTTATCACCAGTAACAATTCAGTGCAAAAAACCTTTTCTCTTTTTGTCTTTGGAGCAATAATTCACATATGGTTTTTCGACATTCAATGTCTCTTTCTTTCAGTTCATATGGGACCCAATTTCCTTGCTTTTGAATCATTTCCATTGCTCGTAGACATTGGGAAATACATAGTTGAGAAGCATTTAAAGCAGCAGCCAGTTCTGATTGTGTCATCAAAGATCGTCATCAAGTAATGCTTCCAATTCTTCATCTTGGAATTTTTTTGGTGGTTTTCCATGCTCTCTGTCATATGTATCAAAATCATTATTTTTAAACCATCAATACCACTCTTTGCATGTTGTATTGTATGGAGCATGTTCACCGTAAATTTCCAATAGCAAATGATATGTTTCTGCTGCAGTTTTCTTTGAAATAAAATAATGAAGCAAGACTTCCCGCAAATGCTGTTTTCCTGGCACAAAACTTGACACTTTTTAATCAAATAAAAATAAATGTTGTTTACACTTTAAACAAATGTTGCAGATTTATTTTTGAAGAATGCTGTCAAATCTTTCAAATAAAAGTGTTGCCAGAATCAGTTGTATGCAAGCAGTACTACTAACACCGTCTATTAAAAAAGGGCGGAGTCATATTTATACACCCCAATAACTCAAACTATTCAATGACATATATAGGCTAGATATTTTTGGCATTTGCCAATCCTTTGCAATTACCTTTTTTACAAGAACAAAAAACATGTATTGTTCAAGTATTTCTTTATTGGGATTTTTTTTTGCACTAGGTTCAGTGGTTATTTTTGATCTTTTTTCAATCAAAATGCATTATTAAGTAAAGGTGCAGTAAAAACTTTAGTCTAATCACTTGAAATATTAGTTTACTATTATTTCTACCAATCTTTCCACAAGTTTTCTGTTAAAAATTAAATGAAATTTTCTTTCTTATAAAATAGTCATAACATTTTTTTAAGGTTCCATTTTATATAGTTTCAACGTGAACATCTAGTTTCTATTTAAGTAATTATTGAAAAAAAAGGTTTAACAAGATGAATAAAGTTTGTAAATATAATTAATTCAGTATGTGAAAGAATGATTCATTGTTTCCTACATTTCTTGGCCAGAATCCAAACTTATATTTTCCCTTTTCGGCTGTACATTTTCTTTCCATTTAAGAAAACATTTAGCAAAAACTGTTAATACTTTATTTAAATTATTTTAATTGGGGGAAAATGTAGTAAGGATTTAAATTTAAAATGTTTTTTGATTGTAAGTGACTTTCAGATATTATTTCACTATTCATTCTTAGTACAAATAAATCATTTAATGTTTTGTCAGCATATTTTGAAGTTTTAGTTAGAATCTAGCTATTGATTCTTTTTTCTTTTAATTAAATATTTTGAATGAGAGATATTTTTAAAAAATGAAATTACATGTATGACCAATTTTTGAACTA